GCTTCCAAATGTCATTCCTGTGAACAAGAAGAACAACAAAAAACGGACTGTAATCGTTGGGAACGGGCACTTCACTTGGTTATGATGGAGGCAACTAATCGCATTGAAAAAAAAGTAGAACCCAACCAACACCTTTTAACGAGTGCAGAACGCACAATGCTTCGCATGGCGTTTAAACAAGTTCAAGGTTGCAGTCGACAGAAAAACACACCGGTACCACCACCACCACTTCCTCCGCCCCCCACGACCCAGAAGAGACCAAGTGAAATTTCAAACCCCTTACGACGGCAGCAACGGCAAAAACAACAACAACAAAGTGTCAGAAAAGAAATTGGCCAAGCATGAATCAAGAGCAAATAATAATAAATAAGAAAAAGAAATTGAAGCCGCATACTGGCGACAACTGAAATAAAAAGTGATAAAAAAAAATAGTTTCATACCTTTCTCCCCGTTACTTTTATTTTTTTATTTTATTGTTTTGAAACGTAGGCGAAAGAAAAATGGTGACGCGACCAAAGGACAATGACGCCAAAAAAAAAAAAAAACGCAAGTATTGAAAATAAAAAATAAAAAAGAATTTGGTTTTTAAGGAGATCACCCACTTCAAACATTTAGTGAGTGCATTTGGTTTCTTTGAATAAATTCATCTACCCCACCTTGGCACCATATGAAGGCAACCCTCATTACTAAGGGCATGTTGGCCTAAAACCCCGCCCACGGCGGCCACCCCAACCCAACCCAAGGGAGGCAGAGGCCCACAGCCAGAGCGCAACGCGCGGTGCCGCAAACAAAAGCGCAACCACCCCCAGCACATGTAGAAAACACAAATCACGACGGCAAAAACCAGATGGCGCGCCTGGCACCCCAAAAAAAAAACAAGGGTGGGGGTCCGACCCCGCCACACGGACAAGTCCGAGACGGCCCGGGACACCCCCTGACCCCACCAAGGCGGAGCAGCACAACGACAAAGAGGCTACGAACGACCAGAAGAACAATAACAACTAGTAGAACGCCAAAATAGCAGAGGCGCCACTATTGTAGAGGCCGCCTGCTTCGACCACAAAACCGCCACCCCACCCCGGCCAAAGTTGTGACAGACGGCGGCGGCGACGCCACCAGGCCGGCACAACCCAAAACACCGGAACAACCCAACACCTACAAGGGTTAGCTTGTGTGCGAAAATGTGCCCCAATA